CTATAAGTCAAGATTTTAGGCCTTTTTGTATTACCAAGCAGAAGTAAAATGATCATCAGTAGTACACCCATATAACATAGTTATATTGGAAAGCTTTGGCACTCATGCTACAGTCAATCATACTAACTATGGGAGCATTGTATAAAGTAGGTGGTATACTGCAGATAACAACTAGAGATTCAATAAATCTAGCCATGCCGTATAGTACTAATACATGAAGGGCTATGTACACCAATATGAGAGCAAGAAGAGCAAAAAATTGATGGAATGAACCAATTTGGGAGAATTATAAGGTTGCTGCAAAAAGTAGATAGGGGAGTGTAATAGTACGAAAATAGATAACGATAGAAAATCTTGTAATATAGTACATAATTGAGGACTAATTAGGAAGATTGAAATTGAGATATGGCTTGTGTTATGGCTGCACCCCAAAAGGTGGTGTGAGATACAAACACAATAGCAGCAGTCAATATGTACTAATTGGAAAAAAAATTATAGAAAATAAAAAGTTACATGAATGGGACATGTAATAGTAGATTGCTCCAACTGACCCTAGCTTGAAAGTTGGCTTGAAATAGTTAATAGAAAAGTAATATAGAGAAAATAAGGAGTATAATGCCACATTGGGTAACTAGTTAAAAGTAGCACAAATGTAATTAGAAACTATATATACAATTGTTGTTAGAAAGAAGCCCAATTAATTAAATAAAGTTTCTATGTTGACAATATAAAAAAAAAAAAAATTTATTATTATTGTTATTATAATTATAATTATAATTATAATAAGAAAACTAAAATAATTCAAACCTTTGATTGCATGCTGATTGGTCTTTTAGTTATAATTTGATTGGATAAATTAAATATATGTACATATATAATTGTGATGTAATCTTTTTATGTCAAGCATTGCAGAAGTTACATTCTTGATTTTGTTACACCCAAATAAGGTTTATGCCTTTATCATCTCATTGCATTCATATCTACAGCACCTCATATTATTACACTAGATTAAGAATTACAAAATTAGTATAGATCAAATTGTTACAAATATTTCACATATAAATTTCTATATGCTATTCGAATTCTGAGTTAGTGATCATTAAAGCTAAGCTGGTATAAACAATGCTAATCAACCAAGTTTATAACAAGATTATTAGTTAATTATTTTTATTTAACGAATTCTATTATCTAGTGAACTTGAGCAAAATTGATCAATCCTTGCCTACCTGACAAGAAGTAATGTATTCTAATCTATAATTGGTTATTTTAAAAAACCAAATATCAGAACACATTTCTTTTATTTATTAATTTGGTGGTTATTGTACATCGGTAAGTATGTGCAAGAATACTTGTAATAATGTAATCATTTCAAATATAAATTCAGTAATTGAGTAACGCCTATAAGTAAAGTTCTTATACATTTAATCAATTTAACTTTGACTATATGATTTAATAATTTATTTATATTAAAAAGAGCAACTGGAATAAATTCTGTTGATAAATTTATTAATGCATAATTGCTACCCAATAAACTGATAATTCAATTTGAATATATAACTATAATTAATAATTTAGCATATTACATTGAATCAAATAATAATTCAAAACTGTGAATGGGTGGCGAAGTTACCCACACAGTAATATTGCTAGTTTATAGATTAAAGATACTTGCTTATCTAATAATGTTACAAACTAGAAAGGAGTTTCTAATATACGTATACATGCATTCACAAATATATACATATATATATATATACATACTGTACATTTCATTACCTGCTACAATAGTTTTGTATATAAGAGGTATTATTAGTCTAGAGTATGGGATGGGTCAGGTTTGACCCAAAATTTTATGAGTTGGGTTATGGTCAGGCCCGGGTCAGGTTCAAATTATAGATCTATTATAAATCGGGTCAGGTTTGAGCTGGGCCTATTAAAATATCAGGTCAGGTTTTGTTTATTGACTCGTAAACCCCAATCATACCCAATATAATTTTTAAAAAATTCTTACCTGGGTATTATACTTTGAGAAGCAATTTGCCCAAACCTAATTTTGACAAAAATCAAAGCCATTACACATGTTGAATGGAAGATATAAGTGATGGCTAGATAAAATAATATGCAGTTTTAAAGTTAACTTATTTTAAAAATAAGTAGGAATTTGTATATCATTTTGTTTTGAAATTTTGAAATCAGAAAATAAAAAAAAAGGTATCTAAAAATAAACTTTTTTATAAACAAGCTTACAATATAAAAATAAATAGAATTTATTTCACATTTCAATATAGTTGCATAATGGGAGTTTACAACTTATAATCACAACTTTAATTAGTAAAAAAATTGAGTTTCTAGCAATTTTCATTATTTTCCTAGCAATACTTATTATTATTTTCCCAGACTTTTAGAGAAATAATAAGCATTACTGAGAAAATAACAAATATTGCTAGAAACTAGATTTTTTTATTGATCAAACTAGTGATTATTGGTTGTAAAGCTATCATGATATTATATAAAAATGAAAAATAATACTCTTATTTCACTGCTACAGAAAAATAACCTAGTAGATCTCCACCCTACTGTGGGCCTTTTGGGCCCACAGATAACTGAAAATATACCTTATATTCTCATTATTGTGGGAAATAAATAGTACTTATAGATCCTTATTACAAAATTTATATGTCAATAATTTAATTTAAAATCAGAAACCTAAACCTTAGATCTGATAAAATGTTTTAATTTTGTGTTACTGCAATTTGGCATATACTGTGTCAAAAACATAGCATACTTTAAACTTTTAAAGACAAATTTTTTTTTTTTTAAATTTTAAGGGTGTAGCACCTGCACTTAGACTTTATTAATATTTAAATGATTAACATATGATAGTGTCTATACGTATACATATTAGTTCAAGTACTAAGACTAGGACATCAGATATACAAACTATTTATCCACAGCTAAAACCCACCAGAGCCAACCATATTCACACTATACAGCTAACCTAGATTTGTACATCCCTCCCCAACCGCCAATTGGTATTTACATATCTGCTATATTACCCACATTACCTACTTTTTCAACTCCCAAATCGGTGTGTCTTGCTTTAGGTAGGTGCTTGTTGCTTCTGGTTTGGTGTATCTGATAGAGAATTACTCCTTTAGTCCTTACTAGCATACTTCCAGGAGTTCATATCTCAAGCTATGCAGCTGCCTCTACACAATTGAGTAAGTATTTCAAGTCTGCATGCTGCTGTAACTAGCTGGTTTCCTGCAGCTTTGGAACCCAGGTCTTAATGTATCTATTTTGGTAATTATGCTAACGATTGTACTTCCCAATATGATGATGAGTCCCCAGATATGTTTCGCATAATACTTCCAGTAGTTAATATAGTTGGATGGCATTATGAGGCTCAGAGATAACAGGTGTGTTATCATTTCTCTTTATAGTAATTCTTGGCAGTTGTAGCCCCCGATTACTACTACATGCACTTATACCAGCTATACCTTATTGGTATTTCCAAGTTCTCTTAATGCCCAAAGGCTCCCATATGGGTACAACCAAAGCCCATTGGATCTATTAACACATACATGCTTCTATGCTTCAACTTCTTATTTTCCAGTGAGTTCTGTACTGCTAGAAGTGTTCTAAATCTGGTAAGGCCAATTCTTTACTACAAGTCCCTTTGTGTTCACCACATTTCTTACCACTTCTAATTCTGGTTACCACCCGGTAATTCTCCCAAACAAGATCCCCAATGCTGCTTTAGGTTTGTTGGTATTATCTTACTAATTGCAGATTTACATATACAACCTTTGTGTAATAGAACCTTCTATAACAACCAATATTACACATAGTGCCAACTACTCCACAATGGTCCTTCTTCCAGAAATTTCTAATCTAGACTTGTATTTACTTGGACTCCCATGGCAGATATTTTCAAATATTCGTAAGTAAACGTACTTATTAGGACTTGAACCTGAAACCCGCTCATAGAGAGTTGGGTGTCTAGACCACTAGGCCACAAGATCCCAACCCAAAAAAGACAAATTTTTTTAAATAAATTGACTGATAACTTTATCCACAGAATGGGTTTTACAAAGTTATCAGTTAATTTTTTTACAAAATTCACCTGTAACAAGTTATAGCTATTCGAAAAAAACCCAATCTTCAAATTAGTATAATTATTTGCAAAAGAATATTTTAAAAAAATTAATAGATTTCTTTGTAGAGCTCATCTCTGTATATAAAGTATTGGTTAGTTGCTTTGAATAAATTTGTCTTAGCATTTTAAAAAATGCCAAGTTTTTGGCACAGTATACAGTCACATGTAGTAATGTGCTATTTATATGATGTCCAAAATTTTTTAGCATACAATATATATAGTATTGGGGTGTCACATCGACTATTTAATCAAAACTATATTAGTTACATTGATAATTTTACTATAATTAGATTTTTATCAGTAAAATTAGTAATCAATTAATTGTAATCAATTGAATAAAATTTTACTATGCTTAATTATAAAGAAAAGCGCAAATTTCTAAAGACTTCACATAAAAATTGCACTTATTTTTCTGATTTTTGTTGACTGGAAATTGTTTATTAGAGTTATCTCAAAGTAACTAAGTTTGATTTTTCACTAATGCTCTGATTAAGTTTCGACTTATATGTTTAATATAATTTTTTTGGCCTTAATTAATGAATTTTTTAATATTCTATAAAGTGAATATTCAAAACCAATAATTAATAAAAGAAATTGAAATGAAGCTTTATTCTTTGACTTTATATAAACAACTGGTGAAATTTTTAAGTCAATTTCACATCTTGGCAATATGTTGAAGCATTTTAAAGGTCAGGTTTAAATTAATAATATTTGATAAAGATTTGTCTTATCAATAAAGATTAAGTGTAATTATATTATAATCTTTTATGAATTGTTTGTAATAATTTTGAGTAAGTTTAATATTTTAAAATAAATCAATCGTAATTATAGGCAAAATGCCATGGGTATCCAAAAAAAAAACTTTCTGCACGTAAAGCAAGTCAAGCATCAGTGAATGCATGAAAAGCTGTTCAGAAAGAAAAAGCTGCTTAGCAAGAAAAAGCTGTTCAGCAAAAAAAACCAATTCTAGAAGATATCTATAATATATTAATTCAAATAGATAATAATAAATTGCAACAGGTTTATTAAATCATTGTTCAACCTGCTAATAATAAAAAAATAAACCAAACAACACTTTGTCAAAGGTTAATTGATAAGATAAACAACTACTTGACAATCAATTGAAATCTGTGATCTATTTATTTGATATAATGCGATACTCTAAAAGACCAAGTAAGGGTAATTTACTTTTACTATTCTTGCAAAATAAGGCTCTAAATTTTATAAATTCATCTCTCTATCAAGTGAATCAGAATTTAGACTCATTAATTCAAAAAAATAAAGCACTTCAAAAACAAGTTATTCAATTAGAACATTCAAATGCCAAAAAGAGTAATAAAGTTAGATAATTAATAGGAATATTGTTACAATATGAACTCAAAAAAAGACATCATATATCATAGTATGTGCTGCAGCTCAAAAGCCACTACCTGCAGATTTTTAAAGTTTGAAGGTAGGCATTCAAGTGATTCTTATGAAAAATAAATATTAATATACAACCTGTATTATAAACTTAGCCACACTGTCACAAATTAATCAAATGTCATTTTGAAGTACTATCCAAGTTACACATTCATTTATAGATTTTTTAATTGGAGAAGATTTATCATTATCAATTTCAGCTCAATCCATTATTAAATAAAATAAAGAAATTAGTGAAATTCATTTAACTAAAATCAAAGCAGTTGTTTAGAATATTTTATTTTTGGAATCACAGTAGATGAATCGACCTGAGGTCAATATAAAATATTTGTGTTGTATATAATATTTTAGAACTCCAAAGATAATAAGGCAGATTTTCAAGTACTGGCAATAAAAGATTTAAATTCTTGCACAGAAAAATCAGTTACACAAGCAATATTTGACACATTTAGTTAATTTAATTTAAATACACAGCAATGCATTATATGTATCTCAGATAATACTAATTATATAAATAGCAAAGCTGGAGGCACTATTTCATTATTTAACCATTAAGTAATGCCAACCAGTATTTAATTCCATGTGCATTTCATATTGCACATATTGTAATAAACAATTCTGAAGAGGCTGCATTTGGTAAACTAACTTGTACAGGATTTTCACAGAAAGAACTTCTAGCAAATCTTTTACATTTGGCTTGGGATCTTCACAATGGTTATGACAAGAGTGATAAGGATAAACCAATGAGAATGTGATCTGATTACATTTATAAACTTTATAAAGAGCACTTCAACTATCAGTTAACAAAGTATCAGCAACCTATTAGATCAAAATGGCTCTATGAGTTAAAATGTGCAGAGCAATATTTAGAGTGAAGAGATGTTCATATAAAATTTACTGAATGGTTTCTATCATGTCTTAAAACTAGAAACAATATTCCAAAATCATATATAAAAAATGGAAGTTATTTCAAAGCTGGCTTTATAATTCAACTTTAAATACACAAGTTAAATTACTAGTCCATTTTGAAAAAGATTTTTATTACCCAATATCTAAATTTCTTATAGGTTATAACTCTAAATTACAATTATTATTAATAAATCTTCCTCCTGGTCATTGTGCATACCAGATGCCTGACTTTGTAACTTGTACTATCATAAAACTTAGAAATATTGCTGAGGATCTCTATTTATTTTTTAGAGAAGAGTTACTTAAATATCTTAATTTGTTAAATGATGATTAGCTTACCAAGCTTATATCAGATTTGGAATATGGTGCACAAAAGGCATTAGAACTTTACCAAAAATGGTCAAATTGCTAGCTACATTTGCCTCTTAGTATTTGTCGACTAGGTGGAAAATTTGGATGGAAATTTGCATGAAGCTTTGTATATGTTATTTTAGAAACACTTTGGTTCTCGGTACCATTATTGTGAGAATTGTATTATGCAAAGTTTATTAAATTAGATATTGAATTAACAGAATTTAATAATTTCGAGCTATTAGCTATATTACTTGATTCTGAATTTGGTTGTGAATTTCGCCAATTTATTCAAAAGCGAAGACTTTTAACTTATTTTTTAAAAATATATGAATTCGTAAAAAATCAAATCTGGTATATTTTGGTACACCAGCAACAAGTTGAAGGCTTGTTCAATAAGTGGGATTTTAAAACCCATCCAAATATAACAAGTGATATTCAACAGTTAAAATTACAGCTTGCAAGTTTGCCACTTGCTGAAATTAGTTGTAATTTTTCAGATTTAGTTGAGCTTAGAATTAAAAAATATCAACAACAAACTGAACTTACAAATGATTCAATTTCAATTAAAGAAAATCTTAATAGCGATAGTAATCATAAAGAAAGTGCTAATAAATTGTTTGAAGACTTATTTGGTCATAAATAGTCTTATTGTATAATGTAATGGCAGTATTGCTGCTAGCCTTTATAAAAAATATTGAATATATGATAAATACCCCAAAATGCAAAAATTATTTTCTGTTCTTAATGTAGAGAATAAAAAAGATAACAAAGATAGAAAATTTGAATTATTTCTTTTGACATAGTGAATAAGTATAAGAATGACATTATCTAGCCTTATTACATAGTATATAATAAATTAAAATTGATTAGTATTTATATAATATAAAAAATCTGCATTATATAGTTAACTAGCATAGTTTTAATCAAATTGTCAATGTGACACCCCAGTACAGTATGTACTGTATATTGAGAAAGGTAAGGCTGATTTGAATGCTCAAGATATGATCTTCATGGATATCAACTACTACTAAACTAATCCAAATCAACACACTAAACTACTAACTCTACAAAACTCTAATTGTGGAAGGCTATAAAAGAAGGTATGAAAAGACTTGGTTTGAGTTATTAGGGCCAAATAGAGCTCTATACTATATTATGAAGCTTTAATTAAAGATCACAGGATTATACAATTCACTTATCAAGGAGGTAATTAGAGTGAAACTTTAAGGTCAGCAATATAGATTCAAATTTTGAACTCTTCTGAGTTAATTTTTATTCAAGGCCATTAGTCAGCACTTTTGTAACTTTCATGCTACTAGTAAGTATATTTGATATTCAATTTTTATCTATAGCTTTTTATCACACTATTTCCAAAATTCACATTATTTAAAATCCCAACTATTTTGAGTATTATGGCTTCCCTTAATCATTCTCATTATTCACATAATTCTTACAATTCTGGGAATTTTGAGAATTATAGAAATTTTAAAGGCTCTCAAAATTTACAGAATTCATATAATTCCCGGAATTCACAAAATTTACATAATTTATATGGCTTCCAAATTGGATAACAATATAAAAAAGACAGATAGTGAAATAAAATAAAAGAAAAATAAGATATCAATATAAAAAATAATATAAAAAAAAATAAGAGGACCCAGGAGCCCTTCACAATATACAGTAGAGATGGGAAACCAGTTTTTGGTAGGTTTAAATCCAAAACTCTTTCGGATTTTTGAAAAAAAATTTAAAATTACTATATTGTCGCGAAGTAATACATATAGTCATTATTTAGAATAATAGTCGAATTAAGCTTAATTTAGCCAAAATTTGAAATTACACGTTATTTCACAGCAATTGTAATAAACCCAGGTTCTATGATGAAATTATAATCGTTGAACTTTTTTATTTTTTTATTTTTTACGTATGAAATTCACTACAAAAATAAATATTTTCTTATTTTAAATTCTTTATTCAAGTTATGTCATTATTGCTTTTACTCCAACTGCAAGATTAAAAACACAGCAGTAACAAAATACTGTACATTTTCAAGATGGAACAGCAGATGGACCTACTTATTTTTCAGATTTTTTTTATCTCGATACGTTAAAATCTATTAACATATATAATATATCATCAATACCTTGAACTGATATTTTCTCTTTAACAAGTTCAACAAAAGCTATTGGTGCATCTTGTAATGTCAAAAATAGGTTTATTTTTTTTATTGGAAGGAATAAGTTAGCAAACAGTCTTATTGTAATTTTTTATATTTTGATGCAACAATGGACTATACAAGAAACACATCACTAGTTATTAGTGTTTCAGAAGATATAATTTAGGGAATTTACAAATAAGAGCCCAAAAAAGTAAAATAATTACATATAAGGGCCCTATTTTGGAAAATTTGACTATATTTCACAATATAGTGAATAAAATTTAATGATTTTGATACGCATTCGGTTCGTCTCATCAAGATGGACTAAAAATTGCTAATTTTAAATTACTGGATTATAAGCTATTTAACATTTTCTAAAATCTGTTTAAACCATGATTTCTTGTTATCCAGTAATTTAAATTTAGCAATTTTAGTATCATTCGATCTGTCTTGACAAGACTATTTGAATGGTATCAAAATTATTAAATTTTGTTCACTGTATCATGAGATATAGTAAAGTTCTCTAAAATAGGACCCTTATATGTAATTATTTTACCTTTTTGGCCCTTATTTGTAAATTCCCTATAATTTATGTCTTTAGCAGTAATGACAAAATGTTGGTTTTAAATACTTTAAGTTTAGCATTATCAACATAATTATATAATAATGCACCTACTGCACTAGTGAGATATAGTGTTACTCTTTTACTAAATAGATTTCTTTTATATTGGTAGAAGGTTTTATAATAAATTTCTTGTCTTTGATTAAATGGAAATGGTTTGTTTTAATTTAATTTTATGATTACTTTTAACAATAGTTATATATTAATAAAATCTAAAATTAAATTTTCTTTAAAATCTTCTTTATAGATACCAATATTTAACACCAATAATAATTTATAGAGAACTGTTGTAAGTTTTATTTTTTTAATTTTATATTATTTAATTTCAAATTGTTAAATCAAATTATTTTTTTTAAGTCACATCTGGTCAAATTCCACTTTATCAGGCTAGTTATAGTGCAACTTTTATATATATAGTATACTTCTATATAAGTGTTTAATTATTGAAATTTTTCATTATTAAATTTATTAAATTTATTAACTATTATACTCTTACAATCTATTTAGCTCAACATAATCAGATTATAATTATTAGCTATCATAAGGCTCAATAATCTTCTTAAATATCTTAATATTAACTTGGTCAACTCCTATAATTTTAAATAATAGTATTTTGCCAGGCCTTTTTTTGTATACCTCTACTTATTTAATAAGTATATTTTGGTCATATTTGGTAAGCAAGAATAATTATAAAAATTTATTAATCATGTTACAACCATTTTTTACAAATACCGTATTCATCCGAAAATAAGCACCCCTTTTTTGCACTTAATATTGGCCAAAATAGTTATAATTCAGGCCAAATTTTTTATAATGCAGGCCAGGGGTGCTTATTTTCAGAGGAATACAGTATTTTAAATTTAAGAAAATATATTGATTACCAACCCATTAGTAATGTTTATCCTCTCTATATAGGTTAATAAAACAATTATAAATGGGTTAGTACATATTATGTAAATAGCTCTAATTTTGCATTAATTTTTACTCTAGTTTTCAGTGATATTGCTGCAATTGCAGTTATTATAGGACTATTTTCTATAATTTGTTGCATATATAGTAGGTATTATCCTCGTTATGAGTATGGTTACAGAAGTTCGGATCATATGCCAGTGTCTTAATTTACTTATTATTATTTTATTATCATTGAGCTATATTGTGTTTTATATTTTATACCTAATAAAGAAATGCTATATACGATACTATTAACCCTTTTAATGTTTTTTTTTTAAATTATAAGCATCTATGTAAATTAAATTTAAAATTAATATAACTTGCTTATCTTAATATTTTACTGTAATGCAAAACTATCAAGAGGCATAAAACTGAGAGAATCAACTTGTTCCTAAATATTATAAAATACAAATTATGCTAAATTAAATAAAAATGTTTATTTAGAAATGTAATTACAATACTACGTATTAAATCAATTTTATCCAAATTTAAGGTTTATTTTTATATAAATATAAATATATAATAATTAATGTACTGAATTTAACATATTAAAAACTCTTATAATAATTAGAAATATATAATCTAAAAACTGATTCTCTAAGTAATAATCATAATTTAAACAAAACAATGATTTTTTCTAAAAGATTCTAAAAATCATATATAGTATATAGTATAAATAATTCTTGCTATTACTAATATACTTTTAATAACAAAATTAGCAATATAAATATTTTTATTAGAAATAAAAACTTTATGTAATTGCATTATTGTATAACTCAAATTCCAATATTTTAATCTAGAAAAATAATCGAAAAATAAATATATTTGATTTATAGATATTCCAATCTGGAATAATTTTATACTTACGACCTAAAACAATAATTTAATTCATATACAGTATATTTGATTAGAAAAATTTTATTCACTTATAGATATTTCAATTTGAAATAATTCTATGCTTACCAACTAAAACAATAATTAATTCATATAAAGTATATTTGATTAGAGAAATTTTATTTATCTATAGATAATCTAATCTGAAATAATTTTATACTTACCACCTAAAACAATAATTTAATGCATATACAGTATATTTGATTAGAGAATTTTATTCACTATGATATTCCAATCTGAAATAATTTTATACTTACGAACTAAAACAATAATTTAATTCATATACAGTATATTTAATTAGAGAAATTTTATTCACTTATAGATATTCCAATCTGAAATAATTTTATACTTACGGGCTAAAACAATAATTTAATTCATATACAGTATATTTAATTAGAGAAATTTTATTCACTTATAGATATTCCAATCTTAAATAATTTTATACTTACGACCTAAAACAATAATTTAATTCATATACAGTATATTTGATTAGAGAAATTTTATTTACTTATAAATATTCAAATCTGAAATAATTTTATACTTACCAGCTAAAACATTAATTTAATTCATATAAAGTATATTTGGTTAGAGAAATTTTATTCACTTATAGATATTCCAATCTGAATAATTTTATACTTACTTCCTAAAACAATAATTTAATTCATATACAGTATATTTGATTAGAGAAATTTTATTCACTTATAGATATTCCAATCTGAA